GGGGGGGGGGGGGACAGAAGAGTCAGAACAGGCTGTATTGAATTTTATTGTGTTTGTTTAACATTTTCCATGAGCTGAAAACCATGGAGGTTTTTCAAATCTCTGCGAGCCTCCAGGAGATTCAGTATCCTTGGCAGCTCCAGCAGACTCGGAGCATTGCTGTCGAAGATTGAAACACCATGTTCGTGTGGTGTCACCACTGCTGTTTGCACTTAAACCTGCTCTTTCACAATCATTTTGTCCACAACAGCGCACCCCCCACCAACACTCGCATACAGATCTGTTACACATGTTCTGTATCGCGTCAGTCCTGATAAGTCCAACAATGTTTCACCGTCCTCACTCAGCCCTGACATCACCAAGTTTCTGTCTTTTGTATCATTATGCTGCTAAAGTCACAAATTTAAAAGAAAAAGAAAAAAGATCCAAAAGCCTTCATACAGAACCAACAAACCAACACAAAGAGAGAATAAATTATCTGTGTCCACACGTGACTTTGGTTATAAAGAGCCTGTGTTTGTCCTGATAAATCCTCTGTTTCTGCACAAACAATGAGTATCAGCCCGTCCTCACTCAGACCTGACATCACCACTTTCCATCCTTCGCTTCATGTGACACAGATGAACGTCTCTGATGTGAAAGAAGAGAAAAAAAAGGACAAATAAATTGACCAACATGTCAAAAATAATAAAATGCAGGAAACCATTGATTTGTTTTCGATATCAAACTCCTTAATTCAATTTGCTGATAGTAATAACGTGCTTTTTTTCTGTAAAATTACCAAAAAAGCACCATAATTTCCCAATTTTCCTCTGAGATCACAATTTGATCAAATATTAAATCAGGCTTTAATGATTTATTAGCTTTAAAAAAAAAGGCCAAAAATCAACTACTAAACTGTTTCCACATCTAGTATTTGTTATTGAGCTTGTTAAAGTCATTTTATTGGTCACCTCCGGAGGCAAAAGGCAATAACGTGTTTACCCATGTTTCTGTGTCCACTTGTCTGTAGCGTCAGCAAAATATCTCATGAATCTGTTAGTGGTGCAGCTGAAACCGTTTTGAACAAGAATTGTGCAAAATGTGATATAAGCACCAAATATGGTAAAGTTGTTCCCAAGAGTCTTTAGACTAATTCTATCCAACTGGCCTTCTAAAAATCTAAGATGGTTAATTATTTGTTATAATTTTTTATTTACTCATATGTATTTTTTGCATGGTACAAGGCTACTAACAGCAAAAAAACATAAACTGGCACAAAAATCATTTAAATTGATTAATTAATAGTGTTACCATATTGATACAGTGCAGAAATAAATTCAGTTTGGCGGCCATATTGAAACCAGGCTGCCATCTTGGATTTTCAAATGACCAATCAGGCAGATTTGACAAATACCTCAAAGAAAATCATACCAAATTTGGTATTTTATCACAATTTGCATGATTTTTCTTTTATTTGTGCTACTATGTGGATGGATGTTAATTAGAATTGCAAAAAATAAAGAGTCAATGAATGAACATCTACAACTGCTTAAGGTTTGGAGTCAGCCCGATTCAAGATGGCAACCAACACAGATCTATCCTTGCCAACACAGAAAATGTCTATATCTCAGCCAATTATTTACAGAGAGTTGAAAGTCATCCACTAAACTGACTGAGTGCTAAGACAAAGCCGAAGTGGAAGTGGTCGGAATCATATTTGTGAAAAACAGATTTACATTTCAAAAAACGAAATTAAATTTGAAAAAAATTTTTTATAATAATAATTTGGGAAAACGGAATGAAATTAAGCCAAACTGTGTGTTGTTTATTTATTTATTTATTAACAACATAAAACAACAGAACAAGGTACAGTAACAAGATGCAAATACAAATCCTCATGAAGGGTGTGGGGTCCGTGTACTATTTGTTCAGTTGTTTTTAAATTGAGAATCCAACATAAAATAAAAACTTATTTCATTATTCATTTTTATGAGGGATTCATGTTACTGGACTTGTTACTGTACATTGTTCTGTTGTTTTAACCACTTAATGTGATTCCGTTTTTTCAAATTTGATTCCGGCCACTTCCGCTTTGGCCACTACTGCTTCAGCTACTTCCTCTTTGGCTTAATGTAATTCCGTTTTATCAAATGTTATTCCGTTTTTTTTCAAATATGATTCTGGCCACTTCCGCTTTGGCCACTTCCGCTTCAGCTACTTCCGCTTTGGCTTAATGTAATTCCGTTTTATCAAATGTTATTCCGTTTTTTCAAATATGATTCTGGCCACTTCCGCTTTGGCCACTTCCGCTTCAGCTACTTCCGCTTTGGCTTAATGTAATTCCGTTTTATCAAATGTAATTCAGGTTTTTCAAATGTTGTTCATTTACACCTCAAGGCCACCGTAGAACTCACCAACATTTCAGTCTATTGGTATTTTTTATTGCATTTCAGTAATAAGACCTACTTTTGAACGCTGGATACATGGGGACAGTGTTGGTGATGAGAGAAGCTTCATATCTAGAATTTGGAGATGTGGCTAATTCTGTAAATATAAACAAAAATCAAGAGTAAACATGGTTTGTAGATAGTTTGACTTGCATAACATTAAGCTCCTCTACAGAGTGTGTTACCAGGAGGGAAGAGGAAGCCGTGGGTCAGGTGGTTGTTCTGTTGGTAGGCTGTGCAGCTCTGACTGTAATCGGGGGAAACTCTTGGGTCGATTCGAATACAGTTAACATTTGCTGAAACCTCTGGTAATGAAGTAGGGTCCTCCTGTAAGAAAACACCGAACACGGAAAGAAGGAAGCCACATTATACCTCCAGACCTCATAACAACCACTTTTAAACAACTGAGTCAAGGAAAAAAAATTAAAAAAGCAAAAAGGAAAATGGAAGTTCTGTTCTAACCAGAGTGACTTTTGTTTTGCAGTAAGACACATGCACACTGTGTATTTTATTATAACTGTTTAATGCATGAGAAGCTGCATCTTGTAAACCCTCGACATGTTTCTGTAACTTTTGTAAAGCATACATGTTGACAATTACAAAGAGAGACTCCGTTTGCTGCTGAGTTGGAGTTTCTGTGGCAACATTATACTTTACAGTGACTCAAACATGCTGGCAGCCTATAACCAGTAACATAATGTGCTTTGTGCATATTTCATATCAGCTTTAAATCCTTTAACACCATGTTCAAAATGAATTAAAGGCTTAAATGCAAAATAAATGTATATTTTTCCAACCTGAACATACCAACACCTTTTGTTTTAAAGGTGTATAGAACTAAGGTTTGCTCTGGTACTTGAGTCTTCAGTATTAGTATTTTAAAATTTACATTTGAGCAACATATATTTGTTTTGTGTAAACATTTTCATACAATATCAAGTTAAGGTTCACAATGTTAAAAGTTATAAATTTGAATGTATCCATTTGTCCAACGAGCAACAACAAAGGGGAGTGCAGGATATTTGTACATCCTGGAGCTGCAGTTCAGCTGCAAAGACAAAATTTTAGAATCCTAAAACTTGTGTTTGTTAAAAGTTCATATTATAAATTACGTGTTTAGTCAGAAGATATGTAGGAACAAGTGTAAAAAAAAAAGCCATGTTTCATAGGTGTTTGTGTACCTGCCGAGGCAGAGTGTACGCCGTCCAGAGTGGCATGGCCAGTTCTTTGCTGTATCCACTGATGAACTCCAGATGATGGAGAAGACTGTACCGAGTCCCAAACATGACCGCTGGGCGACCAAAGGGGAGATGGGTCCTGTCTGCAACACACACACAAAGCCAGCAAAGGTAAGTTTGACTCCTTTCTAAAACCCATTACAGCAAAAAGAGAAAAAAAAGTCAAAGTAGAAAATTAGAAAATTTCAGCAATATAGATTTTTCAAGTTATTATGCTCTTATTGGCTGGATTTACTTTATTTATTCTTTCTGGTGGTTCTTGAGAAAAATGCACCATTGTCTATTGGTGTGACTGACGTGCCTCATGAGTGATATCAGTGAACTTCATTTTTTATCTAAAATTTGATGATTTAAGCCTCTTGTTATGTCTCACATTTGCTGGTGAAGCAGGCACAGTTTGGCTTTTACCTAAAGGTACATACATCCATCCATTATCCATCCATTATCCATCCATTATCTTGCAGCCATGCCACCTGAAGTCAGGCGGCATGGGTAGCAGCTTGAGCATGGAGGCCCAGACATCTCTTCCCACAGCCACCTCTTCCAGCTCTTCTGGGAGGACTCCAAGGCGTTCCCAGGCCAACGGAGAGACATACTTTCCAGCGTGTCTTGGATCTTCCCTGTGGTCTCCTCCAAGTCAGATTTCCTTACTAGGGAGGTGCACAGGGAGCGTCCTTACCAGATGCCCGAACCATCTCAACTGGCTCCTTTCGATTTGGAGGAGCAACAGTTCTACTTCAAGTCTCTCCCGGATAGCTTAACTTCTCTCCCTATCTCTAATGGAGAGTCCAACTACCATATAGAGGAAACATTACACCCATCCATATCTGCAATCTCATTTTTTCTATCACTACCCAGAGTTCTTGGTATTAGGCGAGGGTAAGAATGTAAGAAAGATAGCTTTACCTTACAGCTCAGCTCCCTCCTTACGACAAACCATCGCAGAGTCCACAGTACTTTAGGTGCTGCACCAATCCATCTGTCAATCTCACGCTCCATTCTTGAGATACTTGAACTCCTCCACTTGAGGCAGAACCTCACCCTCAAACCAAAGAGAGCAATCCACCCTTTTCCGACTGAGGACCATGGCCTTAAATTTGGAGGTGCTGATCCACATTCACCTTCACTGAACACAGTTTTAGTAAAGCACTGCTTTCCCCTCCTCGGCTGCCTGATGGTTTACCAGATCCCCTTGGAGCTGACCGAAACTCTCTATCCAAGGCCTCACCGAACTCCTCCCACATCTGAGCTTTTGCCTCAGCAACAGTCGAGGCTGCAGTCTGCTTGGCCCTCCAGTACTCCTCAGCTGCCTCCAGAGTCCCAGCAGCCAACAAGGACCATTTTTTCATTTAGCCTTTATTTATCCAGGTTAGTCTCATTGAGCCACGAGAACTCATTTTCAAGAGAGACCTGTAAAATAGGACCAATAGGACTTCTTCAGCTTGACAGCATCCCTAACTCTGGTTAATTTTTTCCTTCAGCTTATGGGGCTAAACAGATCTAATTCAAATGGTAAATGGTAAATGGACTTTACAAAGACTAAACAGTGCTTTATCCCATTCATACACTGATGGGTCATACATCGAAGGCAATGAGGGGTTCAATGTCTTGCCCAGGGACACTTAAGCATGTGACTGCTGGTGGAATTGAACACTCAACTTCTGCAATGGCGGACAACTACTCTAACCACTCAACCACAGCTGCCCTTAATACAATCCATCCATCCATCCATCCATTATCTTTACCCACTTATTCCATTTTGGGTCACGGGGGTCGCTGGTGCCCATGTCCAGCCATCACTGTGCGAGGGGTGGGGTACACCCTGGACGGGTTGCAAGTCCATCACAGGGACACATAGAGACAAACAACCATTCACTCTCTCACTCACACCTAGGAACAATTTTAGAGTTACCAATCAGCCTAACATGCATGTTTTTGGACTGTGGGGGGAAACCCATGCAGCACGGAGAGAACATACAAACTCCACCCAGAAAGGCCCCTGGACCGGGGTTTGAACCAAGGACCTGCCTGCTGAGAGGCAGCAGCTCTACCAGTTGCGCCACCGTGCTGCCCTAATACAATACAATACATTTCAAAATATCTTAAAAGTGTTTCTATTTGCTTTTATAAAAATTTTACAATTTTTTGCCAATTTCAAAACATTTAATGTATTAAAGCAGCTAATATTCCTAAAAAAAAAATCACTGAACATTTACTGCAACATACAGGAAACAGAGCTGTCCCAGTGGGACTTCTATTTTACCTTTATTTGGCAAGTTTATCCTTAAAAAGCTCCACTGTGAGAAGAAACTTACTGTAGCTGTAGAGCCCATCTGGTGCCGGAGTGAACATCTCGATGATCTCCTCCACTCTGTTCTGAAACACAAAAACAAACACGTAAAAGGTCGTTCAATTTAAAAGATGATTCATACCTCGGATGGATGGATGGATGGATGTATGGATGGATGCATAGATAGATGGATGCATAGATAGATGTATGGATGGATGGATGGATGCATAGATAGATGTATGGATGGATGGATGGATGGATGGATGGATAGATAGATAGATAGATAGATAGATAGATAGATAGATAGATAGATAGATAGATAGATAGATAGATAGATAGATAGATAGATAGATAGATAGATAGATAGATAGATAGATAGATAGATAGATAGGGCA